TGACGCTAGCTCATTTTTTTTTTAAACAGTTTCCGAGGGTTTCGGTTTAGTTCTCCGTAAGGATAGTACGATAGTAGGACCACAGTGTGTTTTGTACACGTGCGCGGATCAGAGGTGTTCCAGTGAGCTGTTCTTTTGTATATTTCTGTCAGGATCCCTGGAAAAGGCGGGAAGATCGAGCCCCCGGGCTGTGATCTATGATTTTGTACGTGCTGTTCGGTGTGTGCGCGTTCTATGCCTGACCGACGTACGCGTGGTGCGATATATGAGGTGAGCATACTGCACGTTTCCCATTCTCGGTTCGGAGTTCGCGCCGCGGTACCGTGAAAGTGACATTACGGGGATTCGCCACGTGAACGGAGCGCCGGGACCCTACGCGTTGTAGGAAATTGGTGAACGGATTCGTCCCTATGTGTCGCAATTTAGGTATAAAAACAATGAAAAATAGGTTGCTCGTAAAACTTTCAAACGCCCTTAAAATAAAAAACAAATTCTTTTTGCAATACGTGTATTTCTATCGTAAAGGAGTAAAGGTCTTTTAAAAAAATTCACTACTACCCGGTTGCACAATAAAAATTTAAATCGGTTACCCACGGTACGAAAAGAGGGGTCGAGGTTTCATAAGAGACCAAGAAAAATTTAAAAACCGCCTTGATCCCGGTGAGCCAGAACACCGTGGAGCCTCGAACGGAAAGGCCATAATCTCGATCACGGAGTGTATCATTGATCAGTTGGGCTCCGAGTCGTAGCACGCCTCCCTTAATCCGACTTATTGTTCGCAAGCCAGCGGCCAGCGAGCTGAAATCTGATTTCTTCAACGTCGATCGAGCCGCAAGTGACGTTTTCACGGTTTTCGGGGCGGAACAGTTCGGGATAACATCGATTAATCCGCTAAAGTCGCGTCCCCGTGGCGGGAGGGTTCGTGGGATCGAAGGAGCACCGAGGTGAAGAGAGAATAAGGTGGATTAGCGGCGAGGAGACCCTCGATGGGGTCGGAAGAAGGCGAACACGCGAAAGGGAACCGGGACAAATGAAATTTCGTCGTGGCAAATTGTCCGAAAGCGACGCCGCAGAAATCGGCCCGGCTCGGCCCGACGATTAACGCGGGGGTTTGGGGGTGGATCTCTCTTAAGACTTGCTAATTTCCTGCCTGAAGCTAGGAGGGGTAAGGTAATATCGGGGAGGAGAGGCCCATCCATTAGCGGAGTGATCTATTTGCTGGGGCCACCGTAGATCCCCCGAATCCGGGACGTGGACTGGTTCCCGAATCAGTTCTTTCGCGGACCCTCGGGATACACCTCACGTCCCGGAGTCTGGAAATGATGCAACAGGCAATGATAGACGAAAGAGAAAGGGGCAAGAGTGGAATTGGAAACGGTCCAAGCGGGCGTCGGATTCGCGAGAACACGTCGAACGATCGTTCGAGGAGCGTTTGTTCGGCGGACCGCAGCTACCGATCGGCGAACGTCCTCGCGTTAGCTAGGAGCGAAGGAAAAATCCTCGATCAGGGGCTCCGTCTTCGTGCGTGAAATACCGTTCCAAGGTGGATCATTGAATAGGGGTCGTCTAATTTTCCCGGATCGCGAGTGAGAATCGGACGATCGTAAAGTTTCGCGAGGAACCAAGGATCGGTCGGTAGCCGTCGGGCCGCGCGATCCTGGCACATTCGATTTCAGTGAATTTAAGCGCAGCCAGGAAAGTAGGTTTTGAATATTGATGAACCGGGGTATGAATATATTCATAAGACTAACAGTTTATTTCTGCAGTCGAGCCGATTCGCCTCGCATTGATCAATCGGCGCGGATTCGTGGAAGCGAGCTCTCCTCGTAAATTCGACCGATTAATATTCCTAGGTACCCGCTCTCTGTCGGTACCCTTGTACCGCGCTCGGAGAATTTCTTTCCGGCGAATCCGACCGGTCATCGAGAATTCCGCCGCTGAATTTCTCCGGCGGACGGATTCGTCCGGCGTTTCCTCTCTCTCTTTCAGCGCATATTCGTGACCTTTCGCCCCGCCTCCTGGCATCTTCATTACGAAACGAAACTCTCGCGTGTTTCACGAGGAGTCGGGGACGGTTCCTTGACCGACCCGACCGGCGAGAAGTGACCAGGTCCAAAACCGGCACGCGTCGTAACTTATCGTCTAGTTTATTAGTAATAGCCGTGACGACAGTTTCACGATCCCGTGCCGAATCCGAAGAATTATGGGAGACGAGCGAGGATCGACGAGAGATCGAAGGGAGACAGGGGGCCGCGATAAATTTTCGTCGTACCGGAGTAGGTAGCGCCGCTCGAAATAATCGAAATGCTAATTATTCATTTGCATAATTAACGCGAGCACGATAAAGCGAGCTGCGGCGCGCCGTGAGTGTTCCCACATGCCATCGAAGATTAACGGTAGCCCTGGCCCCCGCTGTACTCTGCTCATTTTGAATATTAACTCCTCGGAAATGAACGCGCCCCGACCGGCCATCGAATCGTTAACCGACGAATTTCCACCATTCCAATGAATTCGCGAGTGTTGTTTCGCCGTCCGGTACTGTCAATCTCGAACGTTGTCATTGCGGATGTATTTACAACTGCCGTTTCCTTTCTTTAATAAGTTTATATTGTAATTCAATAAGCGAAAATTACATTGCACTGTCCATTTTCTTTGACAATGAGTCATACCCATCAAACAGATTCACTGTCTTCTTCTTCCGTTCTCAGATAACATAAATTTCATGATAAAATCTTCATGAAGAAGTTGTAACGTTATTCCTATAAAAGCAACATAAGATAGTTTTAAGCGATGACTTTGATTAAGGACGAATCGAATGTTCCAAAAATTTCTGCGCAAATGAACACGAAATCCCATTTTCATAGTTTATTTCTCGCGAGTCGTTCGTTATCGCGGAATTGATCGGAAACTGTCGTCGACGCGGAAGACTGTTTTTTCCAGACGCTTTCGAACGTCGAGCGTAATTTTCCCTTTTCGCATCCCGTTCGCCTTTGTCTTCTACTCCAATTAAGATTCTAGAAAGCTTCGCGTGGCGGAGGTCGTTTAAATTCCCATTTTTCTGCCGCCCCTCCGGGAGGCGGGCGGACGTCTCGAATCGATTGAGGAGAGAACCTTGCCGTCACTTTCGCCGCCGAGCGTAAATTGACCCGGTCGTTTACGGTCAATTTCCGAAAAATCTCGCGTTTCCACCGCCGTTGCCGGAAACTCCCCTCGCCGTCTGGACGCCATAACTTCTTTCGGCTACATTTCCTTCCTCGTCGCTCGGGATGACAGCCACCGCCAACAATTGGCCGTCACGAATTTCCTTCGTCTTCGACCGATGTATCTTTCCGAGCTGATTGTATCCAATCTATTATCCGGTTCGTGAAAGACGTATATCGCCGATCAAATTTATCAGTACAGAAACTTTTTTCCGCGGCTAAATTATTTGACGTCCGCAACGGGGGAAGCGAATCGAATCTGTCAGAGCTTGTAATAATGAATTCCTGCTACCTTCGTGATATATTTCTTTTGATATTTATTGCAATGTTCGTGCGTGGAACATTTTTTTACAAGTTTTCCCAAGGGAGTCCAGCTTCGTAGTTAGACTCTCGCAGTGATACTATTTTAAATGAACGTTAGCGTACGTGTCGTGAACTTTAATAGCTGCATCGTCCTGAAAATATTTAAATGTTTTAATAATTAGATTTTTACGTGTTTATATCTAGTTCAAAAGTGAGGAGTACGATAACGTAAAGAATGTAATTAAATGTAATATCGAGTCTAACATTCTTTAAAGTAATGGTTTTACGTTTAAATTAAAACAGTAAGGTAACTTTTTTATAAAAGCATTTGCATGTGGAATACTTAAAAATTTTTAATTATACATACATATGTAAATGACATGACCATGCGAGAAAAGGTTTTCCTCCCATTTTTTCTTAAGGGGTTATTTTACTTAAATAGGTGCACTACTGTGAAAAACAAAACGACTAAATTCAGCTTTGTGTTCTGGTTTTCTCTAAAAAGGTAAAACGCATTTTCCTTTAGACCACTCGTAGTAGATACTTTACACAACTCCGGAAAGTATAAAGGAGAAGTAAACGAGAAATATTTGATTAAATTACTACACACATATATTATTAAATTTAAATTGAGTAACTTCTATTAAAACTCTTAGTTCTGATTCCCGCTGAGCTGAAGTATTAACTCTCCCAAAACCAAAACCAATTTAGCAAAGCTTTCATTTCACGGACACTAGGTATTATTAATATATGACTCGCACATATATCCAGCTGAATATACCTGTCATACATGAATGGCACTGCTATGAAAGAAACACTGGTGTCATTCATTAGGAACGACGTAGCACGCAATGTGCTAAAATCAGTGACAGAAGCAGTAAACTTCTATTTAACTCCCGTCTCCATAAATTACACAAGGAACTTTATTTCGCATAAACATCCGCAGTCCGCAAATTAACCATAACAACTTTCAGAAAATCTAACTCGTCATTTATTTAAACTCGACACGAAAAACAGATATCAAACAGAAATCTTCTGAAATTTTTCTCTAACAAACGAACTCAATTGCGAAGAGAACACAAAGCTTCTTTCTACAACAGACATCCCATGGTTCGTTATGTTTGCAGCGAGTCTCCGAAGACAAAGACTCGTCACTGTCGAAATCAACAATTTGTTGACAAAGCGCAGTCTTCAATTTTCCTAGTCTGTACGCGCGGCTTTCTATTCATCATCGCCGCTTTCGCTTCTCCTCTCGCTTTCCTTTCCGTCTCTCTTAATTTCGCGGTCCCGCGCGAAATCAGCTGGCACACAGCGCAATTAGAAAGCCATTATATCCGTTGGTCGCACTCGCTCGCCCGCTCGCTTCCGCACGGTCGTGTGTTTATTCTGCATCCAGAGGGGCTGGATTCCCGTGGAGTTTCTACACCTTCTGTCAGTGGGGGTAGATGGATGTCCGGCAATCAGGTGCACCGACCCCCAACCACCTTTGAATTCGTCCGCGCGGCAGCTGCCTGATATATTCTCGTTGACGCGGTGCCATCATCCCGGTGCCATGGCTCGCCTGCTGTTTCGTTTTCGTGTTTGCTCGGTGGAAACGAGCTTGAGAAAGAAGTCCGACCCGTTGATCCACTCGGCCTACACCACCGACCCCGAAGATCTTTTCGGAAATTGACCGTGAACGATTTACGCCACGCGTACCAAACGACGCGTGCGACAACGTCACACCCTGAAACGGAACGTTTATCTGCTGCTCTCCCGCGTTTCTGT